GGTCACGGGGGCAGCAGTCTCCACCCAAATCACATTGCACCGTACCAACCCCCCTTAACCTTCCTGTGGGTGGTGAGTCCACTGAAAGGTACCAACCACCCTAACTGGGATTCAAACTTGTCCAGGAAGTGAACCCTGGGGTTCTACACCAATGACAGAGACATTGACTCTGGGCCAAAGCGCCACAGCTCCCGAGCAAAAAAACAAAAAAAAAAGGACACATTTGCACTAAATATTCTTTCTACATTGAAGAAGTTGTGGTTATTATTGTCTCTCAATGTCTACCAACCTCTTTTGTACTGCGGACTGGTAGGTATCAGCCATCGTTTGTTGAAGTATCATTATAAAAATACTGATCAATATCAAACATCAGTATTTTTTTTTTTTAATAAAAGTCCTAGTCCTGGAGATTGAGAACCCTTCTGTATATAGTACTTACCAACTAATGTTTGTTAACACAACAACTTACATTTGGGCTGAATTTCCATCCATAGTCATACGTCAGATTATGTTCCTTGCAGATAACAGAGCTGTGTGAAGGTGTGATCCGAGTTCATGCACCGTTACACACCAAGGTTTCCACGGCAATACAACTGGACGGTCAAACCAAAGCCAGAGATGTCACTGCTCACTTTCAGTGTGAAAACAGGTGACACGCATTTGCACGCACGCACGCACACGCACGCACGCGGTCGCCAACAGTGTCTGACGTTTCTATCACTCTCTCTGTCTCCCAAATATCAGTCCTGTTCAGTATTTATACGAAGTGGGTGGAAACATCTGTGAGTCTGACGTCATCGCTTACACTCACGACATTGTTGCTCATTACATACGGTTAACGGTTATATTTTTTTATGTTCTTGTTTGCCTCCTAGGTGAGCGTCGTCTTCATCCAGACTGCGTTTTATTGGAGGTCCACAGGGTCAATCCTCACTGTGATTGGCTGATCAAACCATGACGCGGACAATTTCCATCACTACCTGTCCAGGAGAACTTTTAAAATGTCTCACCACCACAGGTGTTTGACAATCTGGATCTTGTCTCACAAAGTGCCTTACCGTCAATCTTGCATCTCAGTACCTATTTAGTCACAGAACAACCCGAGCAACCAAGCTACCTGTCTTACCTTCTTTGAATCCTGGGAGCGAAACCAACTATTAAGAGTTAAGATTTATTATCACTCAATTTAAACTAAAATCGTACCTTTTTGAAATAAGCAAAAACAAATGCATCAGAACTCAATGTACCAGAAAATGACATTACCAGGAAACTGTGATCTTCTCGACTGCAGTTCCAAGGCACAAAATAAAACTGAACACTAACTGTAATCCAAAATTATGCTGAGAAAGAGAAAGAAGAATTATGGTGCAGACTTTGAGAGTAAGAGTAAAGAATAAAAATATGTGGTCATACTAAAACAGGAAGCCCCGACAAAACAGATGGAAATGTGCTCGCCCTTAAATTTGTTCTCCTGAATTTGTCCCATGCAATGTTTCTACTATTTAGATGATTTATTTAGATGAATCCATGAAGCACATTATGTATTACAGATTATTTAAGGAATAAACACAAGTGACTATTAGCTATAGCAGATGCCAAAACAATACAAATGAACTGAATGGGTGGAGAACAAGGTGGATATTTTGTCTTTTTATTTTATTTTATTTATTTATTTATTTATTTATTTATTTATTTTTGCACTAAACCAACTACCATAAAGTTGACTGATTTCTTTACACACTATCATTGACTGGTCTGATCGGCAGTACGCATTTACTGAACTCATTTACTGGAAATACCTAAACCTGGGGTGGTAAAGTGTTCCAGAAAAAGGGCAGCTGTAGCAGCAGGTTTTTGTTCCAACCAATCAGCAGCACACCTGACTTGGCCCTTTTAATCAACGTATCTGAACCTCCAGACAGCTGATAGGTCAGTCACTGTGCTCTGGATAGGTTGGAACCAAACCCCTGTAACCACAGTGGCCCATTGTGGAACTGTTTGCCCCTGACCTAAACTGTCTCTTTTGCGTGGTGACGATATTATACGACTACAGTAGCCTCTGGATATGGTTGCACCAAAATAAAAATCCTTGGGGGAAATACAAAACAGAAAATAAGGAGACCATAGCCGAAAACTGAAACACCATAAGAAATTATTTTGCCAGTTATTTGTACCAATGCATTTGTGGCTATGATTGTGTACTAACCTTAAACTTAAATCAAGGCAAGACAATTGCATAAATTAATAGTAATGTTTTAAAGAATCAATCAATTACAAAATTAGGAAAATGTTTATTTAGCACATTCCAATAATGAACAATGTAAAATAATATCAAAAATAAAATTGTTTAACTTGACACCACTCATGTCATATTTTTTTTAAACTGGAGTGGGGTACCACCACTATACATTAACCATTATAATCTTAACAGATAGTCCGCCCCCCCCACAAACACACAAATATAAATTCCTATAAATGTATTTATATTGACCTATTTTATATTTTTATACGGGTGTAGGTTGTTTTTATTTCCTGTTAGGTTTTCCTTTATATGTCCGTGCTTAAGATTAACACTGAAATGCCGACGTTTGTGTACAACTTGAACGCACCAGTAGTTGTAGCTCACCAACATAGTCACAGACAGAACATCCGTCTTTACCGGCAATGTCTGTCTGCCTTACGTCGGAACAAACGTAGGGATGAATTGTCACTGAGGTCACTATGATTCTGAGGCATCCCTAGTCCCTAGTGACTTGCCTGCTGAAATTAAATATGCTTTCTTATAAAAACACAGAGCGCATTTTTGTCGAGTTCAATTTACAATTTTCTGCAACATAATAGTGTACGTGTCAGCCGCGCATTTTTGCGCACTTCTTTTCTTCTCCTGTGTGCTTCTCTCTCTCCGAGCAGGGTCTCTGCATCCATCGTGGCCTGGATAATTTTCATGCGTGCTGCTTTATTCACACATCCAGGTCATTTTATATTGTGGCTCAAGTATTTTCACAATGAAGTGCAGAGGATCTGCATAGACACTTGCTTGCGTCATCATCCTGTTTTGGCTGTGTTGTTTTGGTGATAAATCTACTAAAAGCTGAAAATGCTTTTTTGGACCCATCCATTCATCCATCCATTTTCATCCACTTATCTGTTACTGGGTCGCGGGGACAGCAGCCTCCACCCAAATCACACTGCACCGTACCAACCCCCCTAAACCTTCCTGCAGGTGGTGAGTCCACTGGAAGGTACCAACCACCATAACCGGGATTCGAACCTGCCCAGGAGGTGAACCCTGGGGTTCCACACCAATGACAGAGACATTGCCTCTGGGCCAAAGCGCCACTGCTTTTTTGGACCATTTTCAGCTGAAATTCTTTCAGTGTGTCCCTGATTAAAACATTATAAAAGTGTGATTTGTTGCCATCTGTAATTACCAAAATGGAGTTCTTTTAAATCACAGAGGCATCTGGCGTTGGTGGTTTACAATACTAAGGGCGGAAGCTCAAAAAAAAAAAGAACCCACGAACTGTAAACAAACTTGAAAAAGGAACATGACAAGGTGGATATGGCTGTAACTGTAGCACAACAATTATGGGGGAATTAGGCTCTCCAGGACAGTCAGAAGGAACATGGTTTCCACCCTCATTGTTATTGTGTGGTGAGGTTGACAGTATCGGCTCATTTTGCTCTTTTGTCCACATGGAGTGCCAGAGTTGTCAAATGTTCACTTTTTGGCACCGTACATGGTGAAGACGCAGTTCTCCGCCCCACACTTTGTCTAAATGCTAAGTCCAAATCGGCAACGTAGCCCCGGGATTCAGAGCCATATTGTCTCTGGGTAAACAGTGCCTTTACCTAAAAAGGAGTAAAACCAAATATCAGAGAAGTATCCTCAAAGCTAATGAAGCCTGGGCACTTTCAACAACAACAACAACAAAAATACCCTGAGCGTCACTGCGTTCCTCTTTCCTCAGCTCTTCGTACCTTTCACAGCTTTTGTAATTTCCGACACAGACATACACAGATCAATAAGTTATATTAAATGTCTCAAAGGTTTCATATCTTTCCAACAGCACAATTTACATTCCTGCCAGGCTGGCTACTTTCGGTAACAAGTGGGAGGGGTCCCTCAAGGATGATTTTGACCACAGCATCAGAGCACTTTCCTGCATCAACCGTTCTAAAATTTACAGGGACGTCCATACAGTTGTTGCTGTTATTTAATACAGATCCAGTTGTTGTGATGGGCCGCAGATTCGTTTGACTTGACACACATATACAATTTATCGAGTGAGCACCTAGACTAACCTAGGTCACTGCTCCCCGGGTGCTTAAAGTTCACTTCGGTGAACGGTTAAAAGCAGAGGTCACATTTCGTTGTGTGCAGTGGTGTGCTGTGTCACAATGACAAGTAGTTCCCTTTCCTTTCTAGATATCCAGGGCCAAGCATATTGACTCCATTTATCTGGAGTTTATAAATAAGTTCTTTACATCATTTCCTGGAGTTTAGCATCTGGATTTGTTTCTTCTGACTTGATGATACCTGGTCCAGTCCGGTTCCCTACTTTTGAAACTTCTTAGGATGAAATGACATGGAGGACCATTGAGGACATACACCCGCACAATGTTCGCATTTCATTTCAGGTTGATGCGCTTAATTCCAAAGTCCAAACGAGTCCAACTGAGAATAAAAGGCTATATCCCTTGATGTTACTGTAGAAAAAAAAAAATATGGAGGAAGTATATATTGTATGTATGTGTCTATAAATGGCTATAAGACTATGCATATCTATACAGTTTACACATATATTCATATGTACATACACACAGAACATATTTATATGTATGTGTATATGAGTGAGGAACTTTGTAGCCTTTGCTGCACAATCATTTTGGATCAACTCTGTTGTTTTAAAGCTTCGTTTAAATACATTTTTATCAATTCTGTCAAGTCTTAAAAGTGTCATATCAGCCTTTCAGCTTAACAAATTTCACCCTCCAAAAATGCAGGCCTACTTGTTCAACCTGTACTATCTTAGAGTACATGGGTATTGAACGCTATGCTCTTGTGGAACCAGCAGCCGGTATGGGTTCAGGAGGCAGACACCCACATTACATTAGACTTTCCTAAACTTGGAATTTCCTGTTTTTGATTAATCTTATGTGAGGGGTCAACTCAAGTGAACCTTGGTTATCCCTTAGTTACTGCATGCTGCTATAGTAATAACCTTGTTTTTTCTCTCTCCCACGAGTTTTCTATGTTATTGTAATTGTTACTTATTATCAAAAAACTCTGCAACAGTACATAATTTTACTGATTTTAGCTTGTCTTGTTTTTTTTGTTTTTTTGGAATTGTGGTTTTGTATGAGGAAGTCAGGAGTGGCAGAGAAGTATGTTAGTTTGGTGCAGGACATGTATGAGAATAGTACAACAGTAGTGAGGTGTGCTGTTGGGAGGACAGAAGACTTCAAGGTGGAGGTGGGACTACATCAAGGATCGGCCCTGAGCCCCTTCTTGTTTGCTGTGGTGATGGACAGATTGACAGATGAGGTCAGACAGGAGTCCCCATGGACTATGATGTTTGCAGATGACATTGTGATCTGTAGTGAGAGTAGGCAGCAGCTAGAAGAGAACCTAGAGAGGTGGAGGTTTGCACTAGAAAGAAGAGGAATGAAGGTCAGTCGCAGCAAGACAGAGTACATGTGTGTAAACGAAAGGCAGAACAGTGAAATAGTGAGGCTACAAGGAGCAGAGGTGGTGAAGGTGCAGGAGTTTAGGTACTTAGGATCAACTGTTCAGAGCAGCGGAGACTGTGGAAGAGAGGTGAAGAATAGAGTACAGGCAGGATGGAACAGCTGGAGAAAAGTGTCAGGAGTGATCGGTGGCAGAAGAGTGTCAGCTAAGGTGAAGGGAAAGGTTTACAGGACAGTGGTGAGACCAGCCATGATGTATGGTTTAGAGACAGTAGCAATAGGCAGAAGACAGGAGGAGGAGCTGGAGGTGGCAGAGTTAAAGATGCTAAGATTCTCTTTAGGAGTGACAAGAATGGACAGGGTCAGGAATGAGGTCATTAGAGGGACAACACAGACAGGAAGGTTTGGAGAAAAAGCTAGAGAAGCCAGATTGAGATGGTTTGGACATGTGCAGAGGAGGGACAGTGGATACATTGGTAGAAGAATGTTAGAGATGGAGCTACCAGGTAGGAGAAAAAGAGGAAGGCCAAAGAGGAGATATATGGATGCAGTGAGGGAGGACATGCAGATAGTTGGAGTCAGAGTAGAAGATGCAGAGAACAGGGAGAGATGGAAATCAATGATTTGCTGTGGCAACCCCTGAAAAAGGGACAAAGCCGAAATAAAAGAAGAAGTACTAGACATGCAAAAGAATTTAAATTTAGTTTCTCACAGTGATACTGCTGGAAAGGATGCACTCAGTGGTTCCTCTGTAGAATGTGGTCATGATGGGTGGTGAAACACTTGCCCGCTTGAGTGTGCGCAGGAAGTAGTGGCGCTGCTGGGCTTTCTTCGCCAGTTATGCCGTGTTGGTGGTCCAGGAGAGGTCCTCACTGATGTGCACCCCCAGGAATTTAGTGCTGCTCACACTCTCCACAGCAGCACTATCGATCGTCAGTGGCAGGTGTTGGGTGTGGCCTCTCTGGAAGTTGACAACAACCTCCTTAGTCTTGCTGACATTTAGCAGGAGATTGTTGTCTGCACCACATGGCCAGAAGATCTACCTCTTTCCTGTAGTAAGTCTCATTGCCCTTGGTGATGAGACCCACCAAAATTGTGTCGTCCGCAAACTTCACAAGGTGGTTGGTGCTGTAGGTTGTTGTGCAGTCATGTGTCAGTAGGGTGAAGAGCAGAGGACTGAGCATGCAGCCTTGGGGAGCCCCGGTATTCAGAGTGATGGTGCTAGAAGTGTTGTTGCAGACACGTACTGCTTGTGGTCGCTGGCTGAGGAAGTCTAGCAGCCAGATGCAGAGGGAGGTGCTGAGCCCCAGCTGGTCCAGTTTACAGATAAGTTGTTGTGGTATTAAGGTGTTGAATGCTGAACTGAAGTCTATGAACAGTGTTCTCACATATGAGTCTTTTTTGTCCAGGTGGGT